CACCAGTCAGAATGGCCATTATTCAAAAGTCCATAAATAGTAAATGCTGGAGAGGCTGTGGAGAAAGGGGAACCCTCCTAACACTACTGGTGGGAATGCAGTTTGGTGCAGCCACTGTGGAAAACAGTATGGAGATTCCTCAAAAGACTAGGAATAGATATACCATATGACCCAGGAATCCCACTCCTGGGCATATATCCAGAAGGAACCCTACTTCAAAAAGACCCATCCCCCCATGTTCATAACAGCACTATTTACAATAGCCAAGACATGGAAACAGCCTAAGTGTGCATCGACAGATGACTGGATAACGAAGCCGTGGTATAAATTATACAATGAAATACTACTCAGCAATAAAAACTGACAACATAACACCATTTGCAGCAACATGGATGTCCCTGGAGAATGTCATTCTAAGTGAAGTAAGCCAGAAAGAGAAAGAAAAATGCCACATGAGATTGCTCATATGTGGAATCTAAAGAAAAGAAAAGAAGAAAAAAGAAAAGAACAAATGAACATAAATATAAAACAGAAACAGACTCATAGACATAGAATACAAACTTGTGGTTGCCAGGGAGGAGGGGGTTGGGAAGGGACAGACTGGGAGTTCGAAATTTGTAGATAATGACAGGTATATATCGAATAGATAAACAAAATTATACTGTATAGCACAGGGAAATATATACAAGGTCTTGTGGTAGCTCACAGTGAAAAACAATGTGATAATGAATATATGTATGTTCATGTATAACTGAAAAACTGTGCTCTACACTGAAAATTGACACAACATTATAAACTGACTTTAACTCAATAAAATAAAAATTTAAAAAAAAGTCACCACATCATGAAAGAGGAATAAAAATACATAAAAGTTCTGAAAATTAAATTAAGAAATGTTGTGTCTGATAAACTGCCTTTATAGTATTTGTAAAATAAAGAGTATTTTAACTTCGTTTTAAAAATGCAAAGGAACTAAAAAATTGACTTCAGACATATATTGGTTCATTCATTTGCTAAACTCATTTTGTGCACAATTTTGTTTTTTTTAAATGCCAGACACTATGCTGGGCCCATGGAAAAGAATGAGATTCTTTAGGAGAGGGATTTTTTTTTTTAATTGAAGTATAGTCAGTTGCAGTGTATTAATTTCTGGTGTACAGTATAGTGATTCAGTTATATGTATATATATTCCTTTTCAGGTTTTTCATTATAGGCCATTATAAGATACTGAATATAGTTCCCTGTGCTATACAGTAGGACCTTGTTGTTTATCTATTTTATATATAGTAGTTAGTATCTGCAAATCCTGAATTCCCAGTTTATCCCTCCATACCCTCTTTTCCCCCTGGTAACTATAAGTTTGTTTTTTATGTCTGTGAGTCTGTTTTTGTTTTATAAATATTTTCATTTGTGTCATTTTTTTAGATTCCATGTATAAGTGATACGATGTGGTATTTTTCTTTCTCTTTCTGGCTTACTTCACTTAGTGTGACAGTCTCCAGGCCCATCCATGTTGCTGCCGATGGCATTATTTTATTCTCTTTTTATGGCTGAGTAGTTATTATGTATATATACCACAACTTCTTTATCCAGTCATCTGTTGATGGACATTTAGATTGTTTCCATGTCTTGGCTACTGTAAATAGTGCTGCTGTGAACATTGGGGTGCATATATCTTTTAGAATTAGAGTTCCCTCTGGATATATGTCCAGGATTGGGATTGCTGGAACATATGGTCAGTCCACTTTTAGTTTTTTAAAGAAATCTCCATACTGTTTTGCATAATAGCTGCACCAAGCTACATTCTCACCAACGATGTAGGAGGGTTCCCTTTTCTCCACACCCTGTAGGACGGGGATTCTTAATCAGCTTTCCTGTCAAGTATCTCTTTGGAAGCCTGGAAAAGCTTATAGACCTCTTCTTAGAAAAATGTTTATATACCATAAAACAAAATACATAATTATAAAGGAGATGCATTATATTGAAGTAGTTGTGATAGAGTAGCATGTACTGCATATTAACTCATTAAATATTGAGAGCTATCAGTGGGTCTAATAAACGTTGTAATTTTGAAGTAATGAGCATAAACAATTTTTCTAAGATATCTGCATCAACTGTAGTGTGATAAAACTATTTGTGATTCTTGTTGGTGATCAAAGTTATAGGAATTGCTAATACCATTGATGCTTGTTGCCTAAATTTTAATTGAAGGAAATGCTAAGTTGTGGTTAGAGTTAGTGACAGTAAATATACTATTTTTTCCTCTTTCCAAGTTCATTTTGTACATTGAACCACAGATCCCTTCTGTGTCAGTGAACTTGACCTTAAGGACCCCTCCTTCAAGATCTCTTAGTTTAAGCTACAAGATTGACACTTGATAGGTAGGTAGAGCTGAAGTCTGAGCAGAGATTTTGTCTCATTCATCTTTGCACTTTCTGGTGTACAGCTTAAAGTTTCAGTCATGAATATACATACATGTAGTTGTTTTCATATTCTTTTTTATTATAGGTTACTACAAGATATTGAATGTTTCTGTTAGAGGAGGTGGCATTGATCTGCATTCAAAATCTAGGATACCCTGGGTTTTCAGGTTGAATAAAGTAAGGGAGAGGTACTTATAAGGCATGCTCACAGGCATAGCCTAAGGAAAGGGTATGGCTTATTTAGTGATTATTGAGTTTCAGGATATGCATATAAGGGAATAGAAGGAAATGAGAAGTTGGGATAATACTGGAGCTCAGATTGCAAGCAGAGTTTTGTGTATATTAGGCAGCTGGGAACTAGTGGTGATATGATTCGATCAGCTTTGTGTTTTAGGATGTTATCTTAGATAACATTGTGACAAACAGATGGTACAGAGTTGGGAGGGACTGGAAGCAGGAGCCAATGAAGGCACTATTACACTTATTACAAGTTAGAGAAGGTAGATTATGACAGTAGCAGAAAGATGGAAAAGGAGGAGTTATATCTGGGAGAAAAGGATTCAGTGTTTGAATATGGAATGTGAAGGAGAAGGAGTTGTAGCTGAATCTACTCTGTTGGAAGATTGGGGCATGGGTGATGGCAGGGCCGTTAACCGAGGTAATGAATACAAGAGAGAAGAGTAGGCATGGGGGAGAAAATAAGGAGGTTTAGCTGTACTTAATAAGTTTGTGCTACCTTGACGTCCAGTTAGAGGTTTCCTAGTAGGCAAGACAGTTGAAGCTAGAGATAAAGATTTTGAAATCTTTATATCAATACATTACAGTCATCTGTGAAGGTGTTTTATTTTTTATTTTTTGAAGGTTCATTTTACTGAGGTATAATTTACATGCATTCAGATTCTTTTTTAGGTTTACAGGGTTTTTTTAGGTTTTACAAATGTATAGTTATATAATCACCACAACTGAGATATAGAACAATTCTGTCCCTCAAGAAGTTCCCCCGTACCCATTTTATAGTGATTCTTGCCTGCTCCACATCCAGTTCCTGACAACCAATTATTGATCTGATTTTTGTCTGTATAGTTTGTCCTTTTCAGAATGTCATATTAAATGAAATCATACATTATATAGCCTTTTGTATCAGATCCTTTTACTTAATATAAATACTCTTGTGATTCATTCATGTTATTGCATGTATTAGTAGTTCGTTTTGGCCGCTGAGTAGTATTCCATTATGTACATGAACGTTTTTAAAAGACATATATACTTGGGCTCCCATACTATATCTGAATTCAGAAAGATGGCTAGAAAATGGTAATTTGTTGGAAACAGGATGAGATGAGTGTGTCAGGGAATAGAGTGCAAGGAGATAACAGTGTCAGATGTTGTACACATGTTGAGTGGGGCATTTAGAGGCTGTGCTTGGGTAACTTTTTCAACTTTGGTTTAGAAGGGAAGGAAATGTGGCAATAGCCTAACATCTAGTTTTTTAGAGATAAATGGGTGGAAGAAACAAACTAGAGTTATAAGAAACAGGCAAGATTGAACAAGAGACCATAAGAGGTGGAATCAACTCTATAGACTTGGAGAGGAAGAGGAACAGCTTTCCTTTTAAGGTGAAAAAGGAAGGTAATATGATTGGGCTCTGTTACAGGTGATCTAAGGATGATGGAGAAATGGTTAGAAAATTTGTGAGCATTGATATGAAAAGAAATAAACAGTCATTAATAGTTTTGTGGTAATGGCATGATGAATCACTAAATTCCTAGAAAGTGAGTCTGGAATAAGGTGGAACAGGAGAGCTTAAAGTTTAAAAAAAAAAAAAAGGGCTGTATCCACATATAATATCTTGAGGGCTCGGACTTTTAGGATTGTCATGAGAAAGGAAGGTTGATAGATACTAGAGATATTTATATTTTGTTGCGGTTTAGAGGTTATTTTGAGAATTGTTAGCACTTTAAACTATTAGCTAAAATGTTATTTAAAGAAAGATTGAATAACCTAGTGGAATTGGCATCATTGAGATTAATTCTTAATTTTCCAAGCTTTTGCTTTTATTGTATGTGCCTGTAGGATCACCACTGTGATTCTAAACTAATTTATTTTCGTCTTATTTGTGAACCCTGAATAATACATAACACAAGACTCCTCTAAAACCTGTTTCTGTATTTTAGACAGCATCTCAGTTTTCAGGTACTCTAAGCTGATAATAAAAAATGAATCCTAATTTTTTCCTTTTTGGGAATTCAGAATACTTTGATGGTGGAGTGATGTTTGCTTTCTTTCAAATAACCTCTTGATTTTCATAAGTCCTGAAGCATTTTGTGAGTTAAAAGACCATTCAAAACAATGGCCTTCGGGTTGATTATTAAATTCATAAATTACCAGCAGGCTGACTTTAAAACTTTACTTCTGTTTCTTCTAGAACTTAGAAGTTAAACTTATTGGCAAGCTGTTAGCTAAAAAAGGGATGTTACTGGATTTATCTGCATATTTTATTCAGTTTTTCATATCCACAAAAAAGCTGAGATTTTTCTCAACCTGAAAATAGATAAAACCTATTAATGTACAGATCATTTTAGACGTGTGGTAAAGACAAAGAGAAAGGAAAAAGATTTTGCTCTAGAAGCTGTCAATTCTTTCCTGCTGATTTTCAAAATTACATTTCTGTTCCTGACTTTCCAGCAGAGATATATCCAAATACATGTTGTAGTTTCCTTTAGGATATCTTCTTTTGGACATCCCACCAATGCTTTAGAATAATTACAAAATCAAATTGTTTAGGTTTCTTATTTCTGCCACCGGGTTATTTTGAGAAATAGTTAGCACTGCCCTAATACCACATTTAATCATTCATGAATTATTTTTGATTCTTGCTTTCTCAAATCCTTTTTTGACCATTGCCATTACCATCCTACTGGACCCATTACCTAGATCCAGCCCTGGTAATTTCAGACTGGTTCTCTCTGTTGCTTTTTTAACAGCACCTATATTGTGTTACTCTCTTCCTAAAGAATATGTGATGTTCTTGGTTTTTCGATTTTTGGGTTTTTTGTTCATATCTGAAACTTTTAGAATTCTAGTATCTTAGAGTTTCATTGGGTGAATTTTACCTTTTCATTCTTATTTTCCAAATCTCTACACAATCTTTGGGTTTAGTAGGCCAGTAATCCTGCTGTTTATATTTTACTCTCATCTTTTTTTAATTGAAGTGTAGTCAGTTTACAATGTTGTGTCAATGTCTGATGTACAGAATAATAGTTCAATCATACATGTACATAAATATGTTTATTTTCATATTCTTTTTCATTATAGGTTACTACAAGATATTGAATATAGTTCCTTATGCTACACAGTATAAACTTGTTGTTTATCTATTTGATATATAGTAGTTAGTATCTGCAAATCTTGTACTCCCAATTTATCCCTTCCCATCTCCCTCCCTCTTGGTTACCATAAGTTTGTTTTCTATATCTGTGAATCTGTTTCTTTTTTGTAAATAAGTTCATTGTCTCTTTTTTGGATTTCACTTTACTCTCATAAGTCCTCGTCAGTTTTGTGCTTGCCTCTTCATAGCACATTGCCCCCTCAAATATAGAAAGTTCTAAAGAATTTAGGATATATCTTATATCATAATACTTCATCATGTAATGATTAATACTTTAGGTAATTAGGTTTATTTATTTATTTATTTTAATGGAGATACTGGGGATTGAACCCAGGACCTCATCGTGCATGCTAGGCACACACTCTGCCCCTGAGCTATACTCTCCCCTTTCGATTAATATTTTAGTATATACCCTATCTTCTTAGATTATAGGCTCTTTGGGGCTTGGGTTGGCTGTTTTTACCTCTACCTCTACAAAAGCCAGTTTTGACTTTTATGTATAGTAATAATAAAAGCATATACCTGGAATACTAATATTTCTGGAAGCATAGAATACGTACATGTATGTATTTTTATATCTTCTCATAAGCTTATTGTTGGCCAGGCACAGAATAGGTCTCTAATTTAAGTGTGTTCAACAAGTAAAATGCAATTAGTTAGTTAATAAAAGCCATCTTTAATTGTCTATTTACAGTATGCCAGATATTGTGCTAAATGCTTCATACATATTAAGCTCCTCTAAATCCTTACAATAATTGCATGGCATAAGTATTTTTATTTACATAAAGAATTGTAATATTTAGCAATACAGCTAATAAATGACAGAACTGGGACTTGTACCTTGGTCTATTTTTAAAAGTACTCAATCACTGTGCTGTATTCCTTCCCATAATGTGTGTTTATATGAATTTATGTGTTTAAGACTTTTCAAATTATATTAGGCATCCTAAGACACTTTCATATTTAAGTGCATGGCCATATATATGAAGCTTACTGTGTAAATTTACACTCCTAAAATACAGCAAAGTGGTCTACCCTATGTATTGCACTGTTAATAAAAAGTCTGATTTGACAGAAATCAGAGGGTAGTGTATAGCAGTCATAAATTCAAAATTGAATCTAGGGATTCTGAACCCAGAAAGGGAAAAAACTTGCCTGAGAAGTGAGACTCAAAATCAGACTGTGTAACTGTGTCAGAGTACAAAACTAAAGTTTATAACAAAGACTGCAAGATACAGTAAACTAAGATAAAATGATTTCTCTCTCATATGATAGTGAAAACAAAAGAAAAGTAGATAGGTAGTTTTAGCAGGTAGACAGTGCAGTTGCATGAAGCCATCTAGTGATCCAAACTGATAGGTCTGCTAGTATAGCTCTACCGTCTTCGTCATGTGATTTTTCTTTCTGAGTCCAAGGGGGCTACACTAATTATTGCTGTTTCCTAGCTATCAAGAAAAGGCAAGGGAAGTAGAAGGAAAAGCAGTTTGTACTTAGGGAGATAGCCTAGAAGTTGCACACACCTGTTCCTCTTGTAGTCCATTAACTTGAATTCAGTAATATGGCCACACTTAGATGCAAGGGAAGCTGGGAAATGTAGTCTCTAGTTCAGTAGCCATGTCCCTGTGAAAACTCTGGTAGTCTTACTATTAAAAGGAAAGGAGAAAGCAAACCCTAGGTCAGTAGTCTTAATTACAGTTTTTATTTTGTTTTCAATATGAATGGCTATAGAGATTTTAGGATATAATGATGAAGCCTTAATAATGTCTGATAACAATGACAGGGCTAAATGTGGGGCATTTGCTAGATAATGAGTAAGAGATAAGTTAGGTGTGCCAAGCAACAGTGGTGGTTAATTAGGCTTCTCTGTGGTGTTTCTGTTTTCCATTAGAAAGGCTTTTCTTTCTTGAAAAAGCAAGATTTTGGTGGGGGTAGGAATGCAAGATTGAAAAGTGGCCAGGAGAATATCTAGAAAATGTGGGATCTGGGAAAATGTAGGTGGTGGGACAGCGAACATTGCAAGGTCAGGCTACAGAGATTCTAGCTCAGCTGGAGGGAGTCTGCACTAGAGGGAATAAACTAGAGGGCCTGAGTAACTTGAGGGGCAGGGATGGAAACATTTATTCTACAACTGAACAGAAAGATTTTTTGCTTTTTCTTTTTGATTAATTAGTGTCTATATTTGTATTTTTTAATTGAAGTATAGTTGATGTATATTAGTTTTTGATGTAGAACATAGTGATTCAGTATTTTCATAGATTGTACTCCTTTTAAAGTTAATACAAAATAATAGCTAGATTTTCCTGTGCTGTACAATGTAACCTTGTTGCTTATTTATTTTGTACATAGTAGTTTGTATCTCTTAATCCCTTACCTCTATTTTGCCCTTCCCACCTTCCCTCTCCCCACTGGTAACCACTAGTTTGTTCTCTGTATCTGTGGGTCTGTTTCTGTTTTGTTGTATTCATTTGTTTGTTTTATTTTTTTTAGTTTCCACATATTAGTGATAAATAGAATATTTGTCTTTACCTGACTTATTTTACTAAGGTAATACCCTCCACATTGTTGCAGATGGCAGAATTCCATTCCTCTTTATGGCTGAATAATGTTCCTGTGTGTGTGTATGTGTGTGCGTGTGTGTCACATCTTCATTCTCTCACCATTTGATGGACAGTTAGGTTTCTCCCATATTTTGGCTATAGTAAATAATGCTGCTGTAAACATTGGGGTGCATATATCTTTTTGAATTAGTGTTTTCTTTTTTTTCAGATATATAACTAGGACTGGGATTGCTGATCATATGATTGTTCTAGTTTTAGTTTTGTTGAGGAACTTCAATACTGTTTTCCATAGTGGCTGTACCAATTTACATTCCTACTTTTTTGCTTTTATATTTTAATGACAGTGGGCAAAGGAAGACTGTTACTGTCTTTGTACTGCAAGCTGTATCCCCATTCCACACAGGTAGATATTGTACTTCCTCTGTGAATACATTTTCTTTATTGTGTTGGGGATGCCCGCAATACCACCCCATGTTCAGTAATTCACTGCAGAAACTCACAGGAATCAGCATATAGTCAAACTCAGAGCTAAAGTTTACTACAGGAAAGGATACAAAGCTTACACAAATCAGCAAAGGAAAAGGCATATGGAGCAAGGTCTGGAGAAAGCTAGGTGCAAACTTCCAAGCGTCGTTTCCCAGTAGAGTCACACAGGATGCATTTAAATTCTCCAGCAATGATGTGCTATTATTGGGGACTGGTCACATAGTGCCCAAGGTTTTTATTAGATACTGGTCATGTAGGAACCTCTGACCAGCATGTACCGAAATCCAGCCTCCCAGAACAAAAGCAGGTATTCCTGCATAAA